ATAGAGAAAACTGGTGGTTTTTGACAAAGACAGGTCCAGCCGTTTTAGAGTTACGAAGCAAAATGTGCAAAAAATGGCAGAAAGGGAAAAGAATTTTTTTTAATTTTCATTTTTTTTTTGAATATCGAAAATAATTCGAATTTTAATTCTAATTGTAGCTAAAGCTCTGTAAACATCTCATATATAATACTTTCAATAATTAATTTTAACTATGAAATACTGTTTATATAATTCTTATAAATATTAGACAATGTCCTTATTTTAAATCCAATTAATTGAGGTATTATATTTATTTGTTTCTTATTGGAGTCGTTAAAAATTCATTTTTTTGAACTGTCAAAACTTTGTTTATGATTAATTTTAAATTCAATAAGTCGCTTTTTTATTGTGATCATAATGGTTTGATGAAGTTTTGGTATCCGAAAAAATTTGGTAAGCTAATCAAATAAATATAAATTGTAAATTTATTTATCTAATTATTTTAATAAATATTGACAAATGACTTTTCACTTTTCATGTCAACATTTTGAAAACTTTTGACAGAAAATAACTAAAAAAACAAAATACTAAAATGACAAATGTTATGGAAAATTCGAGAGAAAAAATTTGTTTTTTTTTTTCAAAAACATATACAGATTGGATTTTTATTTTTTCCCCTTTAAACAACCTCCAAATTGAAAAAAAAAACAATAAAAATCCAATAATTTTTATTGATTATGGATAACATGCTGTATATTATTTTGCCTATCTTTCCTCTGTTCAATAATTTTTTTTTATTATGGTTTTAAGTAAATAAAATGTACATAACATGTGTTATTCTTATCGCATAAAAAAGTGCTAAACCATTATTACAATGCACTTTTCAGTGCCATTAATATCAAATGAATTGCCACTTGCAGGAAATTGTCATTTGAAATAAAATTACTGCTTTGCAATCTGAACTCCTAGATGCTTCTTCTCTTATTGAAGGTTATTTAAAATGGTTTCATATAACTTTTACTTGAAATTTTAGACAAATTAATAACTATAAATTAAATTTCAGTGGATATATATGCGCACGTTCCAGATGTTTCAGATGTTCCAGATATTCCGGTTGTTCCAGATGTTCCTGCTAATGTACCTCATATTACTACAAGATGATCAGGTATTTCAACGTTTCTTGAAAAGATATATTTCTTATTTTCACTAATAAAATCATTCATTTTCTTAGATATTCGAACACCAAGGAAAAATTCCTTGACTTACATCACAATTAAAGAAATGTCATGATATAATTATGACAATGAAGAGAAGTGCCAGACGAATTATAAACAATCATGAAATTGCCAGAGCTAAGCTAAAGGAGGCTTGCAGTACAAACAACATGAAAGAAGTTTAAAATGTTGTCAATTCAATAACTGCGACATTGATCAAATGCCAGATGAAAAAACAGCCGAAATAGCCTGTTAAGAATTCATAAATTATATTATTACGAGTGTAACATGAACTATTTTTCATAAGGGTCGTCGTCTAGACTAGAATGTCGCCGGACTATGATGTAGATGGTCTAAATTAGGTGGTCTAATGTCATTCACAGTTCAAGTGCTAGATGCATTTGTAATATAAGATATTTTTTACTTTTGATGTTAGTTGTATGTCTGGACTGTCTACATCGGCGTCGGTAATTTTATTTATGAGTCTGCAAAATGCCTTCAGATAATTTCAAGGAATCATCCTTCTCAGATATATTAAGTCCGAGAAATCATCCCCCGTATATGTAGAAATTAATGTAACCCGCCTCTTACAGGCGGGGCTAATATTGTTAATCCTAATTTTTAATAATTTTTATTTAGTATAAGTTCAGAGCTCAGCATAGAAAGACTAACTATCTGATGCCCTTATATTCAATATATTCTTTTTTTTATATAATAAACATACTAATATTAAAAGTCGCATTTTATTTATTCAATCACCGATCACACCAGCAGTTCCATTATAGAACAAATTAAAAGTGTAGTGGTTAGAATAAGTAAACGACAACACCGGTTTAGACGTAGAAGTAATTTTTAGGCTTCGCGCCTTAACATTGGTCCAGACGAACCAAATAATTAATTAGAAGATTTGGACCATAAACATTGGTTCAAACAAACCGGGTAGTTATTATTTGGACTTTTATGATCGTTCCAAATTTGAGTTTTTGGACTTCATAGTTAATTAATAAACCAGCATAATACAGTCCGCTAAAATATCAAAGTCAATTATTAAATTAAAATCAGATCTATAGTGCAAGTGATTAAATTTAATAATATTATAAATTTAAGGTGATTAGTTTATAAAATCACATATAAAAATAATAAATTCAAGTGAGTTATTATTAAATTAAGATCAAGTAAATAGAATGAAAATGATTAAATTTAATAATACCACAAATAAATGAATAAAAATCATTGATTGAATTTAATAAAATCACAAATCAAATTATTAAATAAAATACAAAAAAGTTAACCAACAAGTGTTAACACCGTGAGGACGCAGCAAACCGAACGGAACAGCTGAGATTCTACACAGGCAACAACGAAGGCACAGCGGGACAGCAAAAAAGGTCAGTCAAGTACGTTCCTCAAGGATTCCTTTATTGCTTAAATACATCCTTTTTTTTATATAAGTTGTTTTGATCTGTGAAAAAGATGGAATCGGTAAAATCATTAAAATATAAGAAACGCGGATTAAAAGCGCATTTCACAAGACTCGATAATATTTGTAACGCGTCATTAAAAAAACCGTTGTCTGAATTAAATGTTGAAATCATAAAGCAACACTTAGAGAGCTGGTCGTTTTAGAAGAAAAATATGAAATTGTTATTAATAATATGGCAGAAGCTTTAGATGATGAAGAAGAATCAGATAAATTATATGACGTTGATTTTCCGGTAGTCTTAGATTTAAGCGACAAATTAAAAAATACTTTAAATGAATTGTTGATTAAAATACCAAAACCCGAGTTAAGTAATAGTATTAGCGAACAAACTCAAATTTTCAATAACAATATAAAGCTTCCGAACATCGCTTTACCAACGTTTGACGGCTCCTATAGTAATTGGTTGCAGTTTTATAATTCGATCACGGCACTAATTCATAATGATACCAATCTTAGCAATGCCCAGAAATTTTACTATTTGAAATCTTGCTTAAAAAATGAAGCTGCAAACGTTATACATTCATTGCCATCGTCAGCAGTAAATTACGAGATTGCTTGGGAATTACTTAAAGATAGGTTCGAAAATAAAAAGTTGATAATTAATAACCATATTAAAAATTTGTTTAATCATTCGGAAATGAAGGCAGAAGACTTTAAAATGTTAAGAAAGTTAGTGGATAGCTTCAATAAAAATTTACGTTGTTTAGAAGCGTTAGGTGAGCCTGTCAATAATTGGGATTCATTGATTATATATTTAATGTTAAGTAAGGTGGATTCGGAAATTCGTCGCGAATGGGAGCTATCCAACAATAAAAGTTCGGACATTTCAAAATTTTCCGATCTGGTGAAGTTTCTGGATTATCGGTGCCAGGTTTTTGAATCGCTCCACTATGATAAGGTTCCGATTATCAAATTCCATAAACAAGTGCCATTAAGAACCGATAGAATTACAAAATCATATGCGATCTCAAACGCAATGCAATGTGTATTATGCAAGAAACGTCACTTATTATTCAAATGTGAGGATTTTAAAAAACTAACAGTGAAGGAAAGAATATCGCGAGCAAATCAATTAAATGTATGTACTAATTGCTTAAATACAAATCACCATATTGATAATTGCCCAGCTTCATTTCGTTGCGTAGTTTGCCACGAAAAACATAATACCCTGTTGCATTGCGAAGAGCCATCGAAAAAACCCTCAAATGATGCTGTACCTAGCACATCATTTTTTAGTAATGAAATTAAATCACACGTCTTACTTTCGACAGCGGTCATATCAGCATTGAATAAGAACGGCGCTTGGGTTCCAGCTAGAATCTTGTTGGATAGCGGTTCACAATCTAATTTTATAACGCAAGAATTTTCAAAAAAGCTTTCTTTAAAAACACAACCGATAAAGATGTCCGTTTCAGGTATTAGTCAATCTTTATCGGATGTTAGTCACAAAACAGAAGTTTCGGTAAAATCAAATATAAATTCGTATTCAAGCAACATATCATGTTTAATTTTAAAGTCAATAACAAGTCATATGCCTTCGGTTTCGTTTTCAACAAACATTTTGAAAATTCCTCGCGGTATAAAATTAGCCGATCGAAATTTTAATATCAGTGGTAGGATCGATATGTTATTGGGAGCAGGCTTATTTTGGAGTTTGCTACGAAAGGGATTTATTAAATTGCCCAATACTAATACGATCTTGCAAAATACTGCATTAGGGTGGATTATTTCGGGAACAATTCAATCACATGATTTAACAAATAAAACGTTTTGTAACTTCTCAGAAATTTCAATTTTAAATAATAATGTAGAAAAATTTTGGGAATTAGAGAAGGTTGAAAATGCAAATTGTTTTAGTGATTGTGAATTAGAATGTGAACGTCATTTTGTGGCACATACTAATAGAAATTTTGACGGACGATTTGTCGTTCGAATACCTTTTAAATATAATAAAATTGAATTAGGAAACTCGAAACAAATTGCATTGAAACGATTCGCTCTTCTCGAAAAACGTTTTAAGGCTAATACAGAATTGTTCAAAGAATATAAAAACTTCATAGTTGAATATCTAAAGTTAGATCATATGAGAGGTTAATGAATTTCGAGAACCAACAAACGCTTATTATTTGCCTCATCATCCGGTGATTAAAAAGGAAAGCTTAACCACCAAGCTGAGGGTGGTATTTGACGCCTCATGTAAGACAAGTAACGGTCGGTCCCTCAATGACTTACAAGCAGTAGGGCCGACGATACAAAAGGATATCTTTTCCATTCTCTTAAGATTTAGACGGCACAAGTACGCTTTGACAGCTGATATCGAAAAGATGTATCGGCAAGTTATAATTCACAAGGATGATAGGAAGTTTCAGAGAATATTTTGGCGCGATAATTCTAATGATTCTATAAAATGTTTCGAATTAAATACGGTAACGTACGGTACAGCATCTGCTCCATTTTTGGCCATAAGATGTCTTGAACAATTGTGCAAGGAAAATTATGAAACTTACCCCATTGAATGCGAAATAATTAGAAAGGATTTCTATGTAGATGATCTAATTACCGGAGCAGATACTCTACCGCAGTTAAAAACTATAAAGCAAAATTTATTGAAGATTTTAAATCAAGCCAAATTTAATCTACGAAAATTTAATAGCAATCACGTAGCCTTTCAAAGTGAAGATTATATCGTAAATTTCAGCGAGAAACAAATTAAAACTTTAGGGATGGTATGGAATTCGTACTCTGATAAATTTGCATATACAACAGACAGCATCACTATAAGTAATAAAATCAGTAAGAGGACAATATTAGCCACTACGGCTCAAATTTATGATCCATTAGGCCTGTTAGCGCCAGTAGTTATAATTCCAAAATTAATCATGCAAGAGTTATGGAAGTGCAAATTATCATGGGACGTAGAAGTACCATCAAAAATAACCAAAACATGGTCACAATTTTGTAATAATTTAAAATTTATCAATAACATCAATATTAATAGACATATGTATTTGCACCATCCTATCATTTGTGAATTACACGGATTTGCCGATGCATCTGAAAGCGCCTACGGTGTTTGTGTATACATAAAAACTATTAATAATAACATGGATTGCTCAGTACATATTGCAGCGGCAAAATCGCGGGTTGCTCCGTTACGAAACATCACATTGCCGCAGACAGCATCACTATAAGTAATAAAATCAGTAAGAGGACAATATTAGCCACTACGGCTCAAATTTATGATCCATTAGGCCTGTTAGCGCCAGTAGTTATAATTCCAAAATTAATCATGCAAGAGTTATGGAAGTGCAAATTATCATGGGACGAAGAAGTACCATCAAAAATAACCAAAACATGGTCACAATTTTGTAATAATTTAAAATTTATCAATAACATCAATATTAATAGACATATGTATTTGCACCATCCTATCATTTGTGAATTACACGGATTTGCCGATGCATCTGAAAGCGCCTACGGTGCTTGTGTATACATAAAAACTATTAATAACTAGCAAACCCGACGAACTCCGGTTCGCCACCAGATGGTTTCGTGAGAAAGATGAAGAAATTTTTTGTTTGTTTTATATTTGAAAAGAAAAAAATTGATTTTATTATACAACAGTAATGAATTTATTTCGATTACAAAAATGAATTGTTTTTTAGTTGAACTTCTCAAAGTAAATGAAAGTGAATCCGTAAATTATCCGTTTCATTGAAGTGCTCTTTGGTAAACCAAATTTTTTGGTTTTTGGTCTGACGTTAACTCAAACAAAGCGGATGGTTTTCCAACTCGTGAACAGGCAACGTATAACTGCCCATGTGAAAAACAATGATTTTCTAAATAATCTATTTGAAATTTATCCCGCAAACACTAAGCGATTGGCCTTGCGACTTGTTATTGCGAACGCAAAGCGAACTGGAAATTGCAATCGTTTGAAGTCAAACGGAAGACCAGTCGGAATCATTGGTATGTCACCAAATCGCCAGCAATTTTTGATTGAATGGTGAAATTCAGTGCGTGTACATCATTATTCTTTGCGGCAAGAATTGCTCGTTAACTTAACCAAGCATAATTCTGATAACTCTCACTAACGTCATTATTTGAATTTTTAATTACGGTGCGTGAAGTTCCAGCAACTTGCATTAAAGCACGATGCCATGCACAACTAATTTTCTTAGCTATAAACCTTGTGGAGCCCGAGACCTTTCCGATGAATGCAAAATTGTCGAAATCGGTTCGTGCGTTCTGGAGTTATTTCGTCAGGAAGGAAAACCCGACTTATTTTTATATATATATAGAAGATAACATGGATTGCTCAGTACATATTGCAGCGGCAAAATCGCGGGTTGCTCCGTTACGAAACATCACATTGCCGCGTTCAGAATTATGCGCGGCTCATTTATTATCAAAATTAGTTAATAAAGTTAAAGATAATTTAGAAATTTCCATTAATCGCGAAATGCTTTGGAGCGATTCAAAAATAGTACTAGCATGGATTAAATCGCCTTCCCACAAGTGGAAAACGTTTGTTGCTAATAGGGTTTCGGAGATCCAAACCAATACGGATCCAAACAATTGGTACCATGTTAGATCAGAAGATAATCCTGCCGATTTAATTTCGCGAGGAATGTTACCGGAAGTATTAATTAATTCAGATTTGTGGTGGTTCGATCCATCTTGGTTGAATACCACTGACAAACTTTCTTTTGGCGCAGATTTCATATCAGAAACCGAAGAAGAAATTAAACATGTTTCGTTAACAGTAATAGAACAAACCACAACTAATATATTTAATATGTATTCATCATATACAAAGTTAGTTAGGGTCATTGGATATTGTGTTCGGTTCCTTAAAAATTGCAAGAACAAGGCCAAGAACAAGGGCGACTGTATCCACGGTGAATTAAAAACCACCGAAATTAATGATGCTCGCGTAAGATTAATTAAATTAGCACAACATGAAAGATTCAAAAATGAAATAGAGTCTCTATCAAACCACGAGCCAATAAAAACTAAATCAGATTTAAAATCTCTCAACCCATTTTTAGACGAAAACGGTATTTTGAGAGTTGGCGGTAAGTTGTCTGACTTAGGTTACGATAAGCGTCACCCAATGGTTCTACCTAAAAATCATGCACTTTCATCATTGATTGCCAGATATGAACATATAAAATCTTTTCATTCTGGAGCGCAACACTTGTTACATACGCTCAGAGAGACATACTGGCCAATCAACGGTAGAAATTTGTGTAAAGGTATTATACGAAGATGCGTTATCTGCTTCAAGGTTAATCCTACTTCTACTTCCCCATTAATGGGCGATTTACCAAAAAACCACGTCACTCCCCATTTGCCATTCACGAATTGCGGCGTGGACTTTAAGATCCGATTATGTTGAGAGATCGTCGTACTAGAGGGTATAAAAAAATTAAAGGGTATATATGCCTAGTTATTTGTTTAGTTCGCGAGCCATTCATTTAGAACTAGTATCGGATTTAACATCAGAATGCAGAATTTTTTCAGACGACATCGCACGATTCGGGGAAAACCCACTCGGGGAAAACATTTATTCAGACAACGGAACAAATTTTGTCGGGGCATCGTCGGAAATTAAAATTTTTAGACGAAAATGGTATTTTGAGAGTGGCGGTAAGTTGTCTGACTTAGGTTACGATAAGCGTCACCCAATGGTTCTACCTAAAAATCATGCACTTTCATCATTGATTGCCAGATATGAACATATAAAATCTTTTCATTCTGGAGCGCAACACTTGTTACATACGCTCAGAGAGACATACGGCCAATCAACGGTAGAAATTTGTGTAAAGGTATTATACGAAGATGCGTTATCTGCTTCAAGGTTAATCCTACTTCTACTTCCCCATTAATGGGCGATTACCAAAAAACCACGTCACTCCCCATTTGCCATTCACGAATTGCGGCGTGGACTTTAAGATCCGATTATGTTGAGAGATCGTCGTACTAGAGGGTATAAAAAAATTAAAGGGTATATATGCCTAGTTATTTGTTTTAGTTCGCGAGCCATTCATTTAGAACTAGTATCGGATTTAACATCAGAATGCTTTTTAGCTACACTCAGACGATTCATCGCACGTCGGGGAAAACCCACTAACATTTATTCAGACAACGGAACAAATTTTGTCGGGGCATCGTCGAAATTAAAAGATTAGCTAATTTTTTGTGCAAAAATAACCTTAGTAATGTTTTGAAATCATTAAGTGACGACGGCATCAATTGGCATTTTATTCCTGCTAAATCACTCCATTTTGGAGGTATTTGGGAAGCCGGTATAAAATCATGTAAGTCGCATTTAAAGCGAATTTTAGGAAATGCATGCCTTACCTTTGAAGATTTCTATAAAATTTTAACACAGATCGAAGCTATTTTAAATTCCAGGCCAATTTCTCCTTTGAGTTCCGATCCTAATGATTTAAATCCATTGACTCCTGGCCATTTTTTAATTGGCAAATCCTCTTACGGGCGGGGCTAATATTGTTAATCCTAATTTTTAATAATTTTTATTTAGTATAAGTTCAGAGCTCAGCATAGAAAGACTAACTATCTGATGCCCTTATATTCAATATATTCTTTTTTATATAATAAACATACTAATATTAAAATGTCGCATTTTATTTATTTAATCACACCGATCACACCAGCAGTTCCATTATAGAACAAATTAAAAGTGTAGTGGTTAGAATAAGTAAACGACAACACCGGTTTAGACGTAGAAGTAATTTTTAAGCTTCGCGCCTTAACATAGCCTAAAGAAAGAAGATACAACCTCGATGAAAAAACACTGGGGATCGCATTGTACAAACAGAGTCCATCCTGTTACAAATATTGGAGGTCCTTTTTATCTTTACCTTTTTACCTTTACCTTACCTTTTTCTAGTCCTTGGCTAATATTCCGATCAGCTCTGGTATCAATAAAACTTTCGTGGAGACTTTGCGTACTTCTGTTCTGAATATGGATCCATCTAATAGAAACTGTGTTCTGATGTTTGACGAAATAAGCATTTCTGCAGGCATTGATTATGACGAGAGTAAGGATAACATAACAGGCTTCAAGGAGGTTTCAGAAAGGAGATCAAAGTTTGCGGACCATGCTTTAGTATTCATGAATAAAGGCATTCGTGGCCACTTTAAAACATCAGAGGCATTACACTTTGTTGAAAGTAGTGTCAAAAGCGCTGAACTTAAAGTTTGTATAAGAGACGATATATCAAGCCTGCAGGAAATTGGTCTCAATGTTGTAGTCACTGTATGTGATCAGCATGCTACAAATGTTGCCGCAATCAACTTGTTGCTTAACGAGACAAGAGCACAGTTTCTCAAAGAAGATAGAAGTTGCAAACTTCAAGGCTTTCTTGTTGGTGATCAGGAAATCATACCACTTTATGATTCGCCACATATGTTGAAATGTTTGAGAAACAGCTTTTCATCATATGATGTCACTTTTATTCAACGTAATCAACAAAAAAGGCATTCGGAAGCCATATAATAAAGATATTCGAAATTAATTCAGAGTTGCCCAATTTCCGCATGTGCTAGAAGTTACGAGCACATAACGTGTATCCTGACAAAATGAGGAAGATTAGAGTGAAGGATGCTGCAGTGGTGTTCTCTTATAGCGTTTCTTCAATGATGCACAGATATGCTACTAAGCAGTGTGAGTAAATGAAAATAATGTAAAATATATTTAATCGCATTTATAATTCAACCTCTTTTAATCGTATTCTAGATGATAATTTTCCTCAAGAAGGTACTGGGACTGTCGATTTTCTGAAATTCATAGAAGAGCTGTTTGACAGTGTAAATGAAACAGCCTCCAGATCTGCCAGTGACTATAAACCTCTAGGGCCTAGGTCTAGGCAGTGCTTTTACAGGTAAGTCTAAGCATTTAGTATTTTGGAAGGAAGCTAGACATGTTTCAAAAAGCATATGCTTCTATAAGAAAGACAAGAGAGTTAAACACCAACACAACCAAACACCACCAACTATTCAAAATTTTTTTTTAGAGCATTGGTTTCGAATATTTTGGCAGAAAATAAAGTGTCCGGAAATTAAATTTTTGTCAACTCGTAATTTTAATTAAGACCCTCTTGAAATTTTTTTGGTATATAGACATGATAAAACATGCATAGATGGATCTCATGGTGCAAAT